AGTGGCTCATGCAAAGGGGATAGAGCCACCTCCGGTTCCCCCCAACTGCTGGGAGGGAAGGCCAAGGCATGACTAAGTGTTTCTATTTCTCTTTTCCTGTGTTGGGCTCATGGTGGCCACGGTGAGGAGTAGAAGGGGAAATCAATTGCTAGAGGGGAAATTCTGCCTCCTTGCTGCTGAAGTTCATAGGATCCCCAGGATGAGTGGGGGGAAAAAAATCAAAGAATTTCCCATTGCAACACTGTCCTCTCCATGCTCAGGTGAGTCTAAAGACCCCATGATTATTTTCCATAGATTAACTGCACTTTCATCGCTGATCTCTTCCGAGACCTCACTGAAACAACAGTAAAGGGGGAAAAAAAGTGTTAATTTTCAAGGACATAGGATAAGGGCGCCCCCACAGTGGGTTAGAATCTCAACTACTCAGGGAACTTTGGGTGGCCTGACCAACTGAAACTAACAGCAGGGTTTGGGTGACTCCCTGAAAGTTCTGAGCTGTCTATGGTCTAAATTGGGGTCAGTGACCAGGCATATGTGCATCTGCTCACTTCCACAAGTTTTTGGAATGACTTGAAAAATTCAGTTTCTTTTTCCTGAGATGGCGCCCCGCCCCATCCCTGACATGTGGAAAATATATCAGATCTGTGACTGTTATCTTTTGGGTCCTGAATAAATTGGAATTCCACCCTTTGCCCCAGAACTTGTTTAGACACATCTATTTTGATTCAGATTCTGAAATGGAAATATGACATTTTAATTTTTTTCAAAAGTTTGCCCAGGACCTTTTAGGAGCTATTGCTACAGAGGGTATTCAAAGAGTTTTCAATTCCCATATGCCAGGATTATTGGGCTTTGTTTTAAGACTACAAAGAAAAGGGGGGAGAGGTGTTGCAGGAATAGAAGAACTTCACATGGGAGATCCAGACACAGGGGGCTCAAAGAGACTGTGAGCCTGTGTGCTGGGGAGCAGAAGGCTCCGTATGGAGATAGTGGCTTTTGAAATGGGTGGGAGGTTCACAATCAGGTACTGTGCTGTAAGCGCTGCAGGTAAAGAGTAGGAGGGAAATCCTAAGAGGGAAATCCCTAACATCTCCAGGGACTTGCACATACTCAGATGCACAGAAATCCATGGGGAGGGTGTAAATGTCTGGGGGCGGGCAGCCTGAAGGTCACACAATTGCTCCACTGACAGTGGGGAAACATTGAGGTTCTTGAGCTGGAAAGTGCATGGCCAAAGCACCCTCTAGGTATATGATATATGTGAGTCTTGTGCACCTAACACAGACTGGGCCCAGTTCTAGTTCCTGAGCACCTACTGTGTGCTACTGATGACAAGCAGGGCATGCACTGTCCTCAGGACCCAGCGTCTAGGGTCTCACCTCTCCCAAGCTGCGTCCTCACCCTTGATGCTCTTCTTCCTCCAGCACTGAGCTCTCCCTGGCAGCTCTGAAGGAAGGTGTCCCTTTCTTTAGGTCTCATTGTCCCCACCCAACTCTTGCCTCTTCAGCCCTCCTGCAGGAGAGTCTGGTAGAAGAACATTCCCCGGAGCCTCTCTGGTGCCTCAGGACAGCACCTCGTCCTCCTCTGTGCCCCCACATGGCCATCTGCTGCCCTTATACTGGATGGATTTGAGTCAAAGGTAGTGATCAAAGTCACCCTGCATCTCACCGGTCCCCCCTGTGGGAACTGAACATCTAGAGCAGTGTTGCGGTGGAAAAGCATGGCAGGGTTGTAAAAGTAAAATAGCCAAGATGTGCGCCAGGAACACGGCATCGCGGCGCTTGCTCAACTGCTATCCCACACCTTTGAGGCCCCATTCCTCTCTCCGCTTGCAGTGGCTATGTGACTGGGGGATTCACACCCCTAGGAATGTGCAGAACTGGGATTCCCACACAGATGCTGGTCCAGAGTGTTTGCTCCACGTGTCCTGGCACAGTGGCTCCATCCCTGAATGGAAACTTGTGGGATCAGAGAAGCCACAACCAGGCCACTTCCTCTCACTCACCTTTCTCCACTTCCCACTTATCTAGGACAGCTCCTACTCATTTTCTCAAGATCCTTATCTCCTCCTGAACTGGGGGAGTTTCACCACACCTCAGACACCACTCAGGAGTTTTCCATACTGCCGTGATAACCACAGGGTTATTTGGCAGTGTAACCAGCCCACTTTCTGTGACTTACCAGGGCCTGGAAAACCCCTCTCCAGACTAATAAAAGCTTTGGGGGTTGAAGGATAGGGCAAGAAAGAGCTCTGAGCTTCACCAGACTCCTCAAGACCATTTCAGGGAACCCGAGCCTATTGAAGCTGCACAAGATGAAGCTGACTGGAGTGGCCCTGGTGTGTCTGCTGCTGGCTGCCATGTATCTGCAGGGCTCAGACAGCGCGAGCAGTGAGTGACTGGGTCATTTGATTTCTCCTTGGGGAGGGTGATAGAAACATGGCAGGTGTTTTGGGCATGGGGCAGGTTGCACCCTGAACTCACTGTCTCCAACAGTCTTTCTTTGGAAAACGTTCTAGTCCAAGAGTAGGGTTGGAGGGCTTAAGTATGGTGCCAGGCTTGGAAGGGAAACTGGAGTCTGGGGCAACAGAAACAGCTGAGCTGCCAGCTTGAGCAAAGGTAGGCTCCACTGGAGGGCATCTGGAAGATTGCTTAGGTTGAGTGAGCCCAGAGGAGGGCTGGGTCTGGCACCTGTAGCATAACAGCTAACCACCAAATCTGAATCAGGACCCAGGGATAAAGCAGTTGGCTAGTATCAGTCAAGTCACTTATCTCTCAAACTCTGGTCCATCAGTAAGCAAAGTCTGCTTTCTGAGTCTGGTGAGACGATGTTGACCTAGGGTAGACACACAGATTACATAAATCCAAAAATTAGGAGGATGGAACCAGGACTGGAATGCAGTTTCTTGAAAGTAAGGTGTGGGAAGAGATGTATGAGACAGATGAGGGAACCATTGGCTGGAACAGAGCTGAGAGGCAAGGGAGAGGGTCTCCGGAGGGCCAGTGGGGCAGCTGGTTAGTTCCTGGGAGCCTTTGAACTATTGCTGAGGTTCCAAGCCCACAGATGTCCTAAGTGCACCAGGCTCAGCAGGCCCCCAGTTTTGGGATCCAGAGAATTTGGACCCACACATGGGGGCAGACCCAGACCCTGGCGCTGGGATATCAGAACTGGAAGAGCTTTTAGATATTAGTCTGTAAAGTCTCATTTTGCAAATAGGGCGTGAGGTACCCGGAGGGAGGACTCATTGAGATTAAGTCCCCACAACTCATTTTTGGGATCTGTGTCTAAGTACAGAGCTGGGTGTCTCCAGAACCTTCTGGATGTTGTCCCAAGACCTTGGTTTGCAGTGGAAGATGCATAAAAAAAATCATTCTAGGTAAGAGGAAGAAATCCAGAGGAGAAATGAAGGTAACACATGTCTGTGATTCTCTTCCAGTGCATGTATCCTCCTCCAACTGTTGCTACAAATTACTGGAGAAAAAGATTCCCCAGCGGCTGATCAGGTGCTACAAAAGCACCAGCTCTTCCTGCCCCTACAAGGATAGAGTAATGTGAGTAGACCCCCCTAGACAGTCCCCATTTCCCCCTGCTGAGAACAGAAACCTGCCCTCGTGGAATTAGAGGTCGCTAGATGGCGATGCTCCCCCAGAATAAGATTTTTGAAACCTGGACAGTGAGGCCAAGACCTGGGTGCACAACCAAGTGAGGACGCTGGGGGCAGCGCTGCATTGTTGTTAGTGGGAGGATAGAGGCAACTGTGGTTCTGAGGGAACTTACATAATTCCCCCAAATATTATAGACCTAATTTTATGACAAGGGCTTGCTTAACAGTTCCAGTAATTTCTGCATAGTGGAAGGAGTGAGGGATCATGATTAGGGCCCTTTTCTGGATTTACCGTAGGTGTGGGGGACGTGTGTAGGAAACTTCTTTCGATGGCTCATTATCTGGGTACCACTCTGTCCTCCTTATCTGTAAAGTGGGGTACACATGATAGGGATGACACAGGCCACTTGAGGCCATTTGGAGCTTGATGAGGGCTAATTATCTTAAGTGTAAGGTATTTGGCATCAGTAAGGACTAATATTTCAGCTAACTGTCTGAGATACAGAAGTTATCGTGAACACTCAGGTCAGGGAAATAGAGAAAATTGCCTAAAGATATACAGTTTCTTAGGCAGAATTTCCCTATAGCATGAACAACTGACAGGTTTAGGAGATCAGATTAAAAAAAAAAAACTCACATATACATTCAGGGGCACATACATGCCCAAACCGAAGGTCCAGATAGACACATGCACAAAAAGAGAAGATGAAACAGGTGCACCTTGAGAATGATGTCACACCAGCTCATTTTCTCCTCAGCTGATACACCCAGGAATACTATTTGGGGATCCCAGCTGATAACCTTTCCCTGGTCCTATATGCAGCTAGGTTCACAGGCTCAGAAAGAGCAGGTCAGGAATGATGGATGATGGATGATGGATGATGGGGCTTGTGGGTGGCACCCAGGGTGAATCAGCTCCCCCAACCTTTGTCTCTGCCCACAGATTCAAGATGAAAGGGGGACAAGAGCGTTGTGCCTTGAAGACAGAGAAATGGGTTGAGTATTATTTAAAGAAGGTGAAACCCTGTTGATAAATGAGCAAATTCCTTTTCATCTGGGACCTTGGAGACCACGTGACTTCACCTGCACCTGAACCCCCAAATTAACTCCGATGCTTCTGCACCAGCACAGCTGGGTCATGGATGGTTGCTGGGTCTTATAAGCTATATAGTTGCACTTTATATATTTAAATCCTAGAATCTTCTGCTTCTGCCTCCAAAACAAGGATTTTGGGGGAACAAACCTAATTGGCACTGAAATGCTGGGACTAAGGGCTGGGGGAAAGGAGACTGATTTTAATGTTATTCAGAACCAATAAAAGAATCAAAACTCTCATCCACCTGCCTTTTTCCTGGGGTGAAGCCTTGACTTGGGGAATGATGCTGATTGGCTGCTTTGGGCCTTGGTGGTTTGGCAGGTGGAAGAAGTAAGCTCGGAGCTAGGCCCTCTTCTCCTTGCTGTTTCCAGAGCTTAGATATAATTCAAAGATCACTTCTGCCCTGGTCAGAGGGCATCTTTGATAGCACATGTCTGCATGATGTTGCTAGCCACATTTTACAGGTGAGGTGTTTGAGGACTGGAGAGAAAACCCACAGGCATGGGGGTACACATCCAGTCGGTATCAGATTGGCCTTCAGGCCCAGGGTGCTGCTTCCCAGGCCAGAGCTCCTTCTTGTGCACCAGGTTGCCAGGTGACTGGCTGGCATAACCTGGCTCAGGCCGCTATCTCCTCACATAGACTTGGGGTAGCAGGAGCTTCTCCTTGGTTGTCCAGCAGGATGCTCAAGAGAGGGGAAGGCACTCATCCAGAGGACGAGGGGCATTTTGGTGACCAGGGGATCTCCCACTGGACTCACTTGGACTCTAAAACCTGTTCTGTCCACCTGCTCCTGGGGAGGAAGCCACCATGGGAGGAGGAAGAAGGTGGCAGAAAAAAGGGTGTCAGCAGACCATCGTCTCTGCTCTTGCTATTCCTGGAGAAGGGGGCCTGGCTTCTGATAAAGTAATAGGAGGTGGGAGTGGACACTCATCCAGGGAAGAGTTGCCAGCGCTCGGAAGATTTAAAAAGTAACAGGAGGATCTGGATTCCATTGTCTTGTGAAACTTATCTTCACAGCTTAAGATCTCAAATAAGGCTAATGTCCTTATCTAGAACAGAACTAAGATTGAGGGCTGGGGAGAGAGGATCCAGGAGCTGGGTAGGGATGAGGAGGTGAGCAGTGTTTTGAAACCCACATGACAACTTGCTGGGAACACTGGCTACTGTGACTTGACAGCTCTTCAGTCTCTGCAAAGTGATCTTACTGTGAAATGTCCAACATCCTTAGACAGGGCTCTGAGCACATCTACAACTAAATTCACAGAGGAAAGCCTGTGAGAAGGTGCCAGAATTTCCTCCACTTGAAGGTAGTGGAGTGGCTGGAGAGGAAGGGAGAAGTAAAGAGGATCTGACCTACCCCTGTTCGGCCCTGATCCTGCCCCAGGCCCCGGGCATGACCTGCCACCTGGACTCAAGGTCTGGGGTCACCTCCTCATCTGCTGGGGTTATATGGTCATGAGTGATCAGGGAGGCTGTGTGGCAGCGCCTGGATGTGGCTCTATCTGCAGAGTTTGGGGAGAGCAGAAGGGAGACAGAAAAAGTTCTGGGCTTAGAGTGGGCAGCTCAGCTTAGGATTTATTCTGGTTCCACCAATAGGTGTGCGGAGGACTCTTGTCTCCTACTTGGCTTGCAGTTTTCTGTTTTTAAATCAGATATTTAAGATGAAATGCTGAGGACCCTTCCGCTGTGATGGTTGAGAAGTGGGACTTTTAGTGGCTCACTAGAGAAGCAGAGAGAAAGGGCTAGCCTGGCTGAGTGAGCCCCTGGGGGCTGAGGGCAGCAGCCGTGAGCAGGAGACACAGGAGGGCTGTGGAGACCTGCATGCAGGGGGTAAGGACGGCAGCTGCAGCCCGAGGATGGTGGTCACTGGGCTGCCTCACTCCTCTGCTGCTCTGGCTGCTCCTCTTCTGTTTTGATAGGAAGCATCAAGGGTGGGAGCTCCCAGGGGCACTTTAGCTGGACAGCAAACTTGTGTGAGCCCCTGACACACAGGCAGCACCCCCTGGCCTCCCAGGAGCAGGCAAGGGGAGCCGAACAGCTTGCACAGCTGTAGGGCCATGGACACAGATCTGCTTCCCTGAGCCTTGCCTCTTTATACGTCCTAGGGAAGTTCTGGCAAGTCCATGCCATTGACTGTAGACTTGAATTTTAAGTGTAGACCTCAGCCATCAAGCTAAGTGGACATTAACGTTACTCCCAGGAAATTGCATAACCACTGTCTGTGAATGAATGGTCTGACTGAGCCCTGTACTCGCCCCTTGGAAATCATCCCCACCCACGGGCCCCCTTACTGTCCTTGTGTCAAATCTGGGAACCTATCGATCATTGCTATAAACCTTCTCTGTCTGGTCTCATATAACCTAGGGGTCTGCCCTGGGGTGGGGGCCCTCTGGGATAAGGGAAGGTGGCTATCAAGAGTGCTGTTCTCTAGAGGCCAGGACACCCTCCCTGGTCCAGCTGGCAGAGTGGGAGCTCTGGCAGTCCTGCCCAAGAGCAGACGTTCAGCCTGCTCTCTCCCTAGCCAATGATCTCCATAAACCAGATCTAGTGGAAATTCTGGGGGTTAGAATCATTATGCTGCTGGACAATCTTAGCACTGGCCTCCTGCC